TCTTGGCAGTTTAAGAAAGAGAGGGGTACTAAAGCATTCTTACAAGCTTGCAAAAACTGTATGTGTGGATATGTCAACACACAGGGACTACTTCAAACGAACCAGTAACTTGGAAGTGAAATCCTTGTTCATCAAGCCTCATTCATGCATGAATTTTTGTATTTTTTTCTAGCTTGCTCACAAATGTGGTACTGTTGATGTTTTTATTACTGCTGGGAAGGGTGGAATCCCAGGATGAGGGTTACTTTTGGAAAAGAAAAATGCATATGAAGAGCGTATGGATTTTTGAAAGCAATGTATTTTAGTGTAGCAAACCTGCTGGTTGTGAAAACGCATGTTAAATTCTCTGCCTTCATAGTGACTGAAGATGTGCTTACAAATGTTACTGCATATTGCTTGTTCTGCATGATACTTCTCTTTAGTAAACAGAGGTTAAAACCAAAATGCCATCTGTGACTAATTGCTTGATGTCCTGATTGTGTTTTTTTTAAAACAAAGGAAAAGGTTAATTATGTTAACATGAGATGTTAACATAACAAAATGAGGCCCATTTTTTTGTGTGTGGTGGTTATGCTGAAGATTGGAATTAGCAAGTTTGAGTAAATGTAAATTTAACAACTCCAAGTTATGGCCAGTGGCTGGAAGCTGGACTACTCTTCCCCGTTGGTACTGGGGTCAGCTCTGTACGAACTTCGTGTGCCGAACTACGAAATGATCAGTAAATATACAGGCACCGGTGTATATGTTCAGTCAGGGAAAAGCACTGCAAAGTTTCTACTCAAGTAGAAAAGTGGCCATGATTGGTGCTTATTCTGCAGCTTCTTGACGCTTGCTGTGGTAACTTCATGGAAATACCCCTGCACTCCAGTCTGTGTTGGGCATACTGCTGAGGGTTTAGGCTCTCCTGTTTCTCAAAATGGCAGTTGTCTACTGTGTGGAGTTGGCAAAAAAGCAGGCTGAATTTGAGCAGTGGGAATAATTCTTGAATGCTGCCATTCAGATGCTGAGGTCCTCTCACTGGACTCGTGGGGGCTCAGACTGGATCAGCAAAGAGCATGCATGTCTACTCTCGGGCTTCCAGTGGGACCAGACGTGCTGGTTTGTGTCTCATTGGGAAACTGGATTCCTGCACTCCACTCTGTGTTGTTGGGTGCCAGCTGTTCCCTACTCCTGCAGCATGCTCTTGGGGTGGTGCTTTAGTCGCTGCTGGAAGTTTAGATATTCTCTCATTTAAATTTTTTTTTTTTTAAAACAAATCTGAAAGCGTTAGATTCAAATGATATGAGACTGTTGGAAAAGAAACAGGTTGGTTGACTGAGAGGTGTTTCCCCCATCCCCAAAAGATAAAACAAAGCTGCAAAGTAACAGTAGTAAGAGACTTGTTTTTGTTTCTGATAGTGCTTCCCCACCTGTGTTTCTTTGAGTGGAACTGTATTAATCTGCAGCTTTGATACTTCAAGAATGAAACGATCGTTAGGGCATAATGACCTGCTGTGACTGGTTTTGAGCCAAAATCTCAGTAATTGTGCTTATGCTTGAGGAACAATTCTGAGGTCTTTGTCACTAAGCTATGAGGAGTGGAGGCACGCTCTCAGGGTGTGGGTCTCTGTACTGTGGTTTGGTGTTTTATTGCCGTTTCCATAATGATGTAGAATTATCTGTGGCAAAGGACATTTATGCTTATCTGCAGATATGCATATGTTCAATTTACCCTGTCCTCATTTTATCCTCCGGGACTTGCTCTTTATTTCGGTCTATAGAGGAGACTGGCAGGAGGAATTGAATGGCAGGAGGGGGCTTTGGAATTTTTTCAGTGCTGTGGAAAAAAACATTTAATCTTGAGTTTTCAGAGTATATTTCAATTTCTTTGGCTGCAAAAGAGTGGAAGACCTGCTTAGATTCATCATTGTAGACCTTTACACTTTGTGGTTTTAAAGGTTTGGTCAGTCCTGAAAACACCACCTTTTTTTTTTTCAGTTGTGGGCTTGTTTTGTTTTTTGGGGGTTTTGTGGTTTTTTTGTTGTTGGTTGGTTCGTTTGTTTGTTTAATCTCATAGGAGGGCGGAGGTTAGCCTTATTTCTGATGTGAAGCTATGTAAATTCAAGCAGTTGGACCTTAAATATCATCGAAAGGAATACTCATACTTTCTACCCTGTGGCTTCTCTAGACATCCCTCCATAAAATAAAGACAGTTTTTTTTCCTGGACAGGAGCTGCCAGAACCCTGTTGTATTTTGTTTCTGGTTTACATATTCATATACTGTCTTACATTTTTAACCTGCTTGTGGATGCATGTGTGTGAGAACTCTCTCTCAAACCTTGATCTGTGAAAATGGCGCAAGCACCTTGGGGAGGACTAAGTTTCATATGGTGAGTTACCTGTCTGTACTACTCCTTACCCAGGGACGGAGGATTGGTTTAGTTCTTAGCGGTGCCTGTCTCACAGACCTCATCTCTTGCACAGAAGCCACCAGAAACTTGGGTGAGAATCCATTGTTTCCAGAACAGATGCATCCCGTTGACTTGACAGCTGTTCTGCAATGGGTTACAGATGTTATGCTGTGTCTCTGCATCTCTTTGGTGACTGTTGCGGGTAAAAGTTGCTCATTTGTTAGCAGTGCTTCAGCTGCATATGCTTTTAGTGTGGGGTTTTTTTTTTTTAATTGCAAACTGAAGGTAGTCTTTTTAGTGTCTGTTTTCATTCTTTCAAACTCCAGTTATCAAAGTGTGACTAAAGGGAAAATTCACGGATAACTAAGATTAATATGCTAATTGATACCTTATTACTGTGATAGCAAGAATATAATTTGTATTGAGACTGTAACTTTATTTTGTGTCCTATTCTACTGGAGACAACAAAAAGTTGTCTTGGGCAGCTTTATCCTAGAAATTACAGTTTAGGGGGTGAGGTGTGTCCCTGTTGTTAGCACTGCTTTGCTGCTGTTTGAGGGCTCTGGAGCTTTGGGGCTCAGAGTGAGTAGCAGTTCTGCTCTGCCTTCGCTCAGTTTGTATCAATCTCGACATCTCTGGGTTAATTCTGGTGCTTGGGACCAGCGCTAGTTTACTGTCTGTTGTACATCCAGCAGTAGTCATCGCAGCAGCCACGTATCCACTGCTCCTGTAGGCTAGTCTCTTCTGGCATCAAGAATGTTCTTAGTTACAAGAAAAGAGCAGATCTGGAATGTGGTTAAAGTGAAATATGTGGCTTCAATCCAGGGACTTGCAACCATTGATTTACATCTGTCAGAGCCCCTGTGAATGGAGAAAATGTTATCTTTCTGTTATGGAAGGGGGAAGAAAAAACAAGCGCTACGGCTTAGCTCTGAAGCCAACAGATTCAGGTTGCATCCTGCTGGCTGTGCTGTTTCCCAGCACCTGTGGAGCTCTTTGTCCATCCATCTCAAACGGCTGCTCACAGCTGTGTTTTGGATGTGATTGCTGCTCCCATGTAAAAAGGAATGATTATCTGGTGCGTACATTGCCTTTGTCAATATGCAAAGGTTGTTACTGGACTCCTTACTTGGTTCCTTGTACATCTGTTCTACAGATTTGATGGAAATCTTTCTGGCAACGATTTCTTCATCCCTGTGGGCACTTAGGCACAAAAATGCTGCAAAAATTGAAACTATATGTCTTCGTGTTTGAAGTAACTAACAGCATACATCTACACAGAATGGGAAACACAGTTGATATAAACTGTTGATTTTAATGTGGTTTCATGATACTCAATGCTCAGAAAATATCTCCTGTTCCGCCTTGCTCCTTCCCAATACCTTGCTGTGCCATGTGTTTCCTGGCATACTTGCTGTGGGTACATTGTGTTTGGTTTTACTAAGGAGAACCTCAAGAAATCTGTTGGGAGTATGGACCATGAGCTGTAAAAGTTCATTTTTGCTGGATTCTTTAGAAAGCTTTATTGTTTCATCACAGCTTAACTCGCTAGCAATAGGAAGTTTCAAAAGTCAAGCTGGGAAGCTTGCTATAAATGGGAAAGCAGAAATCATACTGATAACTTCTGCAGCTAGCGACAGCATTTGCTGGTGCCGGCCCTGCAGTACTTGTTGGATTTGATGTACTGACATTTTGGTTCTCAGCCAGAAGGGGCTGAGAAAGATGGTTTGGTGTACTCATGTTGTTAGTGAAATGGTGGGTTTTGGGAGCATGCATCTTAGAAAACTAAATGGCGCTGACAAAAGGTTTATTAGTTCACTCTGTGCCATACCCAGCTGCCTTATAGTAACATGTCATTCTCTTATATCCCAAGACCTTTGTGTGTCCTACAAGGTCTCATATATGTAAAGTACAGATTCAGTACATAGCTATGGCAGCACGATAGGGTATCTGATAGTATACTAAGCATGCTAGTAAAATCAAGCCGTTGTGCTTGGAGCTTTATGGTGCTGTTGTGTTACTGAGGAAGGGTTTTGTGTGATAGCTGGAGTCGCTGTGCTCTGCGACTGATGGAGCTACGCCTGTGGAGGTATTTACTTGTGGTAGGGTCAGCAGAACCTGTTTGCTGACAGCTTGTAGCTAACGTCTGAGCTGAAGAGTTCCCTGGGGATCCAAGGATGATAGGAAAGATTTTATTTGTTGCTGTCTTGACAGTGTATAATACCTTCCACTTTCTCCTCCTTGATGTCAGTAAATTCTTTCAAAACTAAAACAGAACACCAGATTTTTCCCAAGACTTGAGGAAAACCTCAGATCTGAAAGAAGAGGTGTACTTTTAGCGGTAGTTTGAAGAAAGGTGTGAGTAAACGGAGAAAAGACTGGGCGAATGGAACATGTTTTTTAACTTGGGACCTCTGCTCTTCAAACCATGTTGTTAAGGAAGCTTTTTTTCTCAGTTAGCTTTCTAGGAGGGGAGACGTTAGTTTGGTAGACAACTTTTAGCAAAACAACACAGTTGCAATCATAGCTGCGTGTGTTTTGATTTTGTACTTTTTTCTGTCTTGGAAAAGCAATGGTCTTACCAGCTCTATTCTCTTTCCTGTTTGTTAGGTCTGCCTAACCACGGACAAACCAGACAAATGGTAAGAGAATGTTCATTTAACCAAAACAGGGAAAAGAAGAATTATTAACCCGTGTTAGATAGAACACCCCACTAAACCGTAGTGTTTCACTTCCGTCTTTGCTGTTTGCAGCTGGTCATACTTCCCAATTAATTGAAAAGTTTTTTAAAAAAAAAAAATATTTTGGGGCATATCAAACATCCAAGTGGTTAAATACAATGTAAACCTCAAATCTGTCTATCTATGTGTATATATAAATGAGATTCTGTTTTGAATGGAACATTTTGTTTCTGCTCATACGGAAATTGAGTGGCTGTTTATAGCAAAGTTCTGGGATGTGTTTCTAGGTGGAATGTGTTTCCCTGAAGGAGGAAGGTTTAAATGATGGAAGGGTTTGTTTGGAAAACAGTTTCGTTTTTTGTTGGTTGTTTTTTTTTTTTAAGGAAGTTGGTGTGCAAGTTGTCTGCTGAGAATGTTTGGTTTTTGTGTTCTTTTTTTTTTTTTTTTTTGAGTAAAAATTATTCCTAGCCTTTCATCCATTATGCTGAGTTTTATCAAAGGACAGAAGCAAATAGCCAGTCTGATTGATGCGTCTCTGGCAAAATGCTTTCTCATTAAATTCACCTCTGTGTGAAGGGGCCAGTGGAAAGGCTGTGCATCACTTTCCCTCCTTATGCATGGCTTATGGGAGAGAACTTCAAGCAGAATTTTTTTTTTGCCCAGAAATGATCTTCTGGTGTTGATTAAGTGGAGCTTGCCTCATTAGGTGAACTGCCACAAAGTATTAGCGTCAGTAGAGTCACTCTGACATGGGTCAGTCAGCAGCAGGTATGACTGATGGTCACTGAATGGTGATCACAAGCATTATTAAATCTAATAAATGTTCTTGGATAGTGTGCAGTATCATGAGGGTAGGCTATAACTTGAGCATGCTGGTCTGCTTGTAATAACGAAGCATTCATTTGGTTTGTTACTTGAGCATCTGATCCGAAGTGGTAAATTGTATTCCTCCATGAATTCAGCTTCACTTCTTGTCACTGAGGAGACTGGCTACTTGTTTGTGTCTGCTGAATAAACCAACTCAGTGCAGTGGGGGAAATCCCTGATGACCTAACACTGTTTAGGTGTTTTAGGGCAAAACCCCTGAATTGCCTTGATTTCTGGTTGCTTGATAAAGTCTGCTATTGAATTGAAAATTAAAGGTTCGTGTCTCAGGATGTACCATTTGAAACAGATTGCTCTGTGCAGGTAGAGAAAAGGCAACCTGGAAGCACAGGCGTGCCCCTTCTAGGTATTTCCAAGAACTTCTCAAGAGTTGTTCTCCTGTGTAACACATGCGGAGAAAATATCCCTTGCAACACTAATGAAAGGATTTCTTGGAGAAATCTGGAGGGGGCAAAAAAAAAAAAAACCAACAGAAAAGCATTGTATTTGAAACCTTCTTCTTAATGAATCTCAGATATAAAAGCAATTCTTGAAGTATTTCAGTGGTCTGCTGTGGTGCCGAAGTTTTCTTGTATAACCATGGAGCTGGGCAACTAAGAAATTACATTGTTATTGCACTTGTATACACCACCTTAAAAGAGCTTAGGATTTTAAAAGGTGGGATTTTGTTTCTTCACCTCTAAAGCCCTAATTTTCTATAGCAAGTAGATCTTGCTGGCACAGTTGATTAAGGCTGGTCAAAAAAAAAGTGATCTATCATATTTTGTTTTCTCCTCAGAAAAAAATGAGATGGATGCAGGGTTTTGTTGTTTGTTGTTTTGGTTTTTTTTTTTTTTCCTTGGTTAACAGACTGAAGTGTTCCCTTTCTAAGTCAAAGTGTTAAAATTTGGTTGAGTTTTTACCATAACCTGACACTTGAGGACTTGAATACCTCATGTCCCCACCTTTCCTTTTGAGGTGGATCTCCCAGGGCAGACATCCCTCCTGCACACACTCAGTTTCCCATTTCATGGGCGGAAGGGGAAGCCTTGGTGCATCTGGGGAGATGGTCTGACCTCGGACGATGGCCTGTGAAATACCAGAATTAAATTTCTACAGGCGCACTTTCTGACCAGCTTTAATTTATGCATATCAAATTTTCTGGGCCCTTATTTTGCACCTTTCCTGACTGTCCAGTGTTACTGATTTCAGTGGGATTTCTCAGTGTG